AGGCTAGAGGGATGGAGGGAATACTTAACCAATGATTGGAGAAATCAGTCAATTGCTTTCCATTTAGCTATTAGTTTTTGCAGCATGACTTTAATAAATTATCCTACTTCAGGGTTGGTAAGATGATCAAATTAAAATGTAGGAAATGCTTTTTTAAAAGTTAAAATTACTGCCCATACACAAGGTATATTTGTGTGATTTGCTTTTTTCATTTCATAATTTGATTAGCTAGACACAGATTAGGTTATAAATTTACCCAAGAGGTCTAAGAAGCAGGAAATAGACAAATCGTCTTTTAGGAAAATAAACAATCCCATACCATTTCTGTGAATCGATCTGCACAGGCCATTCGGACCCATTCTGGCGTTGCTGGGCTCTGCACCGTGAAGTCCTCAGCCATGCCTCTTTCTCTTCGTACTGTGCCCACAGCGTCAGCAATGGCAAAGAACACAGATGACCCCAGGAACATCCCAGACTCCCCAAGGCCCTGTAAGAAGGTACATTAGTTGAAGAACATCTATACTACACTACAAGTTTCTAGAGGGTAGGGGCCAGGTCTTGTTCACTGTTGTATCCCCAACCCCTGCATAGTGTTTTGTACACAAAATCTCAATAAATACTTGTTGGCTGACTTACTGACTGAATGAAGCTTGAGTAGTCTTAAAAATCCCAGTATAATCTGAGTTTCCCAGATCTTGAATCCTCTGTGTGTGTGTGTCTGAGTGTCTTTGTGTGGTAAGGGGAAAGTATCCTATTTAGTAAAACACATTCAATGGATTGAACTAGCCAGCTATATCAGCAGAGAGAAAAATGCCTTTTTTAACTCCAGGGTCAGGAGAGGCAGGGTACTCTAGAAAAAAGAGTACAGATTTTGATACCAGATGAAAGGTTATAAACCCATCATCTGCAAGGAACAGGCAGGTATTATAAATGAGTGACGCAGGCAGATGAAGAACAATAAGGAGTAGTGGAAGCTAAGGTGAGGAAGAGCATCTCTATGTCCTATCTACAAGGGGCAGCTGTTCTTTGGTTGTAGCTAGTTGTTGCCTTCCCAAGAATGCAGTCAAAATTACCAGATCACCCATTTTCTCAAGAGAATTTAGATATCTGTATTTTAATATAAAATTCCCTGACTTGTAAAAATACTGTGTTGGCCAAAGAAAAGTATATCGTCAGGCCAGCCTTAGCCAGTAGACCACCAATTTGCAACCTGTAAGTTAGTGAACTGAGTCTGAATCCTGGCCCTTACTCTAACCAAGTGACATAATCTCCTCTGTTCCTTTGTCAGTGAAGTGTGGGCAGTGATGCCTACTTTATAGGGGGTTGCATGGGTCAGGAAGTGTGAAAGCACCTAACACAGCTCCCGGTACCTGGTAGCTTTCTGTTATTTATACACAGTACCCGCTGTGCAAACCCATGATTTTCTTCAGTGTCTGCCTGTGAGTGGCTGTCTGTAACCCCAAGGACTCAAGGGTCCTGTCTGCCCTGTTACTCTTGATGGCTTAAAAGCTGCTCTCTGTGGGCTCTTAGCTGCCTTTTGCCTTTGCCCTTCAGAGTGATTTCCAGTTCAAAGAGAATCCAAAGGCCCCATTGATTGTCCTTCCTTTCAAGTTTGCCCTGACCTCATCATTATAGGTCTCAAGGAAGTCCCTAGCATTCCTGGGCTGACAGTGGGATCCAGTTTGGAAATGATGAAATTTCTACTGATGTAGTTGGATTCTTTTGGAATTTTGGAGGGAGGGATACTAGCAAAAAGTTTCCCAAAAATCTTATTTATTTATTACCCAGGCTGGTCTTGAATTCCTGGGCTCAAACGATCCCCTGCTTCAGCCTCCTGAGTGGCTGGGGCCACAGGTGTGCACCACCGTGACTGGGAAAGATTTTAAAGTCTTAAGAGAAGTCAAAAAACCTTAACAATACATCTCAAACCTAGATGAAGGTTTTTTGTTGTTGTTATTGTTTTTTTTTTGTTTTTTCTACTTCTAATAAAATTTCTCTTGGAACTAGATTAAGTTTTTACTCTGAGGGTGGTTTTCACATAATCTGCATACAGCAAGGCAAACAGATAATGATCTTTATTTTAATTTGCAGTTTCATTACTTTAGCAATTACTAAGTGTTGCTATCTCTGCTTTCTGATGCTATTAAAATTTTGTGCCAGATAATTCTCTGTACAAAACCACCTCTTCTACTCTCCCCCACCCCCAGTTGAGACCCACTGTTCTAGATGCATTTCTGGGTATGGTCAGGACCCTGAGCCCCTCAGAGGTAAGTGATTTCCCTAAGATCATGGGGAAGGGGGGACAGGGCTGTGGCAGGAACCCAGGTCTTCTGCGGCCTCTGTCTGTGGTTCTGTCCATGGTGCCGCTGCTAGGATTTCAGTCACATTGCGCCCCTGATCTCGTTTAATATCGTGGTCTTCAGGATCTTAAGTAAAAGTGTTATTCTATTAAGATGTCAGAGCTTTTTGTCGAGTTTTAGAGTTTTCAGTGAAAGAGGAAATTATTAAAATCCTTGGCCTATGATTGCCATTCTCCAAATTCTAACAGTCTGTAGTGATTTGTTCCTGATAACAGTTAACATTGACTTACTATTTTGTCTGCCTACTTTCATTTACCATGTGCTACCTGATAGGTTTGGGTGCTTACCTTAGATGAATAGATGGTTAGTGGGGTGTATGACGATGGCAACAAGGAGACATTGAACTCCTCTGGGACATCAGTGATGGTTGGAATTTTGTACTCATCTGGGCTCCGAGAGTACAGGACACCTTCTGGGGAATATTTCAGTTCTTCAGTGGTATAAAGCCCCATTCCTTGAATAAACGAACCTTCAATCTGGAGGTGGACAATTTCAAGCTTTGTGACATTATGTCATTTTTAGAAGGCCTTTACCTACCCTGAAATGACTCCCAGGAAGAAGCATCCACCCAGGTGGGCCAGCACCTACCTGCCCAATATCAATGGCCGGATTGAGGCTGCAACATGCATCCATGATGATGTCCGTTCTGATTTTCTGTCCAAAATAAAAATTAACTCACCATAAAAACTTGAATTAAAAATACCATTTTCACTTGTACTCAAAAGGCCTCCAGTTATTCCAGAACTCCTGCTGGTTAGTTAACACTGCATTGAACCCTGTCAACATTAGCACTGTTAAGATGTCTGCCGAATTCTTCAAGTTGAGGACTAGGACTGTCCATGACCCTGAAAGATCTTGTGCATTCACAGTTTTGACTCCTCTTAAGTGACTCCAAAGTCCATGACATGTTAGTGTTTCTGAGTGAGTCACTTGGTAAATAATTGTTGTGTCTGGTTGTTCATCTGATTCTCAACCTGAATTTGTTGTTGGAATATAATTTATGAGCTCATGTAGTCCTCATGATAATTGTGGGAGGTGGTACTGTTCCCATTTTACTGAGAAAATCCTAGAGCCATACTGACATATGGGAGTTTGTGGATTTGCAAGATCTTGGAAGGTATTAATGGCAAATGTCAAGACCACCTTTGACTTGCTAATCTACTTCCTTCTCTGAGAAGCATCACACGAATCTGGCCCTTGTTTTGGCACCGGGCATGGGCATGCAGGTTGTTAAGGAGCTACTAAAAGCCCCTAAGCGCCTGTGGTCTATCTCCGGAGTATCTCAGGGCTTCCTTTGTGTCCCTGTTTCCCAGTGCTTGTTTTGACAAGATCGTCATTCTCTGTTTGGGCTCAATGCCTGGGCTCCTACTTTCTATCTAGCCCTTTGGACTTGGCAATTCTCTTTTGACTCAAACCTTGGCCTCTCAGACAACCCACTCTGGGCATTGGGACTGGCCTTCATCTATTCTCAACCTGGATAGGGAGGGAGATTGGACACACCTCAGAGTGAGCTGTCAGTTTACTTCTACTTTGAAACCTGGTGTGTTTTGCACTGCAAGTACTGGACAGTGGAAAGAGATGGCTGTGCATTAACACTGAGCTGACAGATGATTTAGTTCACCAACCACAAATTGCCAGCTGCAATAGGCCTGTTATTGACCTGTTATTGAATTTCTCTGATTTCTCTTTGGTCAGAAGAAGTTTTGCCTCTTTAAGAAATAAATTATTTTAAGGGACCAAAGTAATATTGAAATTATTGAACCTTAAACTGTAAATGTAAACTGAAAGGCACAGAAAAGACCAAATGTTAACTTTTCTAGCGTCATAAATTCTGTAAGAGCCCCATATGTTTCATTTCTTTATGGATTTATATCAAGGCCCTTGGGTAAAATTGCATCCTTTATAATACAAGTTGTTAATTTTGGGTTAAGTATGATTCCCTGTCCCCAATGGATCGTTTCTTGAATGTCCAATTAAATAGAAAATATAAAAATTATTTTCACACCTCCCTTCCCCCCAAATCTGTTTCAGTAATACTTTTTGGATAATTGACTTTGGAGAAATAGCTACATTGCTATGTGCTTTCAAAATGTTTGCTCAAGATTATTTACTAAGTTAGCTATTCCTTCAGATTAGGAAATATGTCCTTTCTTTATAAACAGAAGTTTTTTTTGGGAGAAACCTTGGAAAGTGATTTTGTTGTCTAAATGAAATAAAAAATTTAATACACTTTAGGCTGTCATCAGCAATTCCTTTTTGACTACTAAATTGTCTTTCTAAGTGGAAATTCAGAATAAGGCTAGATCTCTGGACCCTCCCATGGAACTGAAAGAATCTTGTTTTTGTTGTAAGAGAATTACATAATGGAATTGGGCTGTTTACTATACAATACACTTTTGTTGTTTTGACTTGCCAGGAGGAAAGTTAGACTTGACTTACCTTATGAGCTCCTGTCAGGCAGTCAATTTCAACCTCAGAGCAGGCAGCTCCATAGACATAGTAAGGAAATGGGTCACCCACCCCTTTCTCCCAGTCCATGAAGGCCTTATAGCCCCTGAGGGAAGAAATAAAGCATTTTAGCTTGAGTTGATTTATTTTAAAAGTTACTAAAGTTTTATGGTAGCATTTCATTTTTTTTCCCCAGGGAGGGCACAAATGCAGTCTCTCACTACCACAAATTATGCAGTTGAGTTTCCTACATTGGAAGAAATCACAGGGGCAGCATCTCTGGAGTAAAATAGATAAGCCTCACCCTGGAAAAATCACCTTCGGGATCCTGGTATCTCTCCAGAGGGACCCCATGGATAGTGCTAACCAAACTCACAGGGAGCCGATGGTAATTCAGGGTTGATAAAAAAGGACTGGTGATTCAATGCATTAATCTATAATAAAAGATGTATTCAGATAGAGGGCTGGTTTGCTCTCTTCTTGGGTAACTGAACTTAGGAACTGATTGATTGATTGATTGACTGATTGATGGGGTTTTGCTCTTGTCACCCAGGCTAGAGTGCAGTGGTGTGATCTGGGCTCACTGCAACCTCCACCTCACCTCCTGGGTTCAAGTGAGTCTCCTGCCTCAGGCACCCAAGTAGCTGGGATGGCAGGCATGCCACCACACCCAGCTAATTTTGTATTTTTAGTAGAGATGGGGTTTCTCCATGTTGGTCAGGCTGGTCTCAAACTCCTGACCTCAGGCGATCCACTTGCCTCGGCCTCCCAAAGTGCTGGGATTATAGACATGAGCCACTGAGCCAGGCCAGGAATTTTGAACTCATTATGTACAAGGCTTTGGGCTGGCCTATCTCCTTCTTTCCTCATTCTTCATGAGGATTTGCTTTACTATTCTCTTTCTCTCTCTCTCTCTCTCTCTCTCTCTCTCTCTCTCTCTCTCTCTCTCTCTGTGTGTGTGTGTGTGTGTGTGTGTGTGTGTGTATGTGTGTTGTTTGGTGGTTTGTTTCATTAGATTATAAAACTAATGTCATATGCTTCTTGAATTTGAGAGTGACTGGTGACTATCATCCCACTCATTCTCTCCTTGCTAGTAAGGAGCTTCAAAATAGACAGGTTTTATGGTAAGGGGAAGGAGATTTGTAAAACTGAGATGCAAGTCATTTCTAATGATAATATATTTTTACTACTCACAATAAATAGAAAATAATGATTAGATGTTGTAAATAATGATTAAATAAATAGTAAGTAATGATTAGATGTTGTAAGTCAAGCATCTATTTTTTTTAATCCAATAAGGGTGTTTTATTATTTAATAATCTTTTGGACATAACTGAAAGGTCTATGTGAAATCATAGAATTTTGGGCCTAGAAGGGACCTCAGCAATCACATAATAAAAACGTATTTTACAAATGAGGGATCTGTGGCTCAGAGTTGAGACAGGATAGGTAGTGAAGAAAGTGACCATGTTCTCTGGATGTAGCACCAGCACTGTGGTGATGGTACATTCAAAATGAAGCCTCAGCATTTCCATTGTAATCACACTCATTCAAGGAAAGCTATCTTCAGTAGGCAATTTGCCCTTTACAGAGCATGTGCCCTTTGATTTTACCTGTCCTCAAACTGACCCTTTGCTCATTTTAATAGTAAAAAACATACTCCTGGGTAGAGATTTAAGATGCTAATGAGACATGTGATGTATAAACAAGCATGTACAGCTGCACATGTGCACCCAGAGGACCACCCAGAATGTGCTTACTAGTAACAACTCTTCCTACCTCCTTATGAATAATCATGTAAGACCTCCATAAAGGGAGCCTCCTCAGTACCAGTCTTTGCTGTCTCATCCTTATGAACAGCCCACCCGGAATTCTCTCTCAGGGTGTGCTGTCTATTCTGAACCTCACTTAAAAATATATATATTTTTTGCAATATATTACCCTATGCCGCACTTCTTTTGCTGTGTGTCTCTTTTTTTGTTGCTTGTGTTTTTCTTTTTGCTTTGCTGTGTGTCTCTTGTTTAAATTCTTTTAAACTAAGAAGACAAAAACTGAGGTATCACAATAGCTATCAACAGAGTGACTGAGTTACTCATATTTTCTTGGCTACATCAAGATATTATTGTAATGTTTACCTGAAGTATCCAGTGGCTGAGAGACTGATTCTTTGTTCAAATGCAGCTTCTACCTGCAGAATGGGCATATTTAGTTAAAGCGAAATAAATATACCATCTGCTAGGTGAAAACGGAAATGTCCAATCTAAAATTGGCATCTCATAATTGTTGCTGGTGCTTTGCTACCAATAATAGAACTCATCATCATATTATTTTTCCTTAACTGGCACATTAACAATTTCCTTCTGATTGAGTTTAGAAGTGTGGGTTGAGCAAACATAAAATAGAATCCTGCTGCACATCCATGAGATAGGGGCTCAGTGCACAAGGTATTTGGACTTCATTTCTGAATGTTAGAACTTTATAGTAAGTGTGTGGGTAAATGTGAAATAATTGTTCTAATGAAAAAATAGGATATTGTAATGTTGGATTAAATAAGTCATCTCCTTTAAGGCATATTCAACAGCAACTAGGCCTTTTAGTTTTCCTCCTAACCTACCCAAAACATTGTGTGTGTGTGTGTGTGTGTGTGTGTGTGTGTGTGTGTGTGTGTGT